CTGGGGTGAGGCGATGCTCTACGCAATGGTTGTGTGGGATTCTCGGGGACCGGTTCTACTGTGTTCCTCGGGCTGCATGTCTGTGTTGTATGACGCGTGTAGTATTTCACAGCGAAACCAGCACCCAACTGCCTTCTGGTGACACTTGCCATAGGTGAGGGTGTAGATGGCCTTCCCAGCTGTGTCCAGGGCGGTGAGACAGGGGGCTTTGGGCTGCGTCGTGCCCCAGCGCTGCAAGGCGGCCAGCAGTGATGGCGGCCAGGATGTCCCCACGGTCAGAGGTTCCCCTGCCAGCACCACCGTCTGGCTCCCCTCCGGCTTTGGCTGATTTGGATCTGGTTGCTGAACTAGAATCAAAACCGAAACTTGACATCAGCACTGCATAGTATCCTGCCCATGCTGTGGCATCTTTTATAATTCTGTTTTTTTTTAATACCATCTAAAAAAAGGTTACAGTAATGTTTTGATTCCATTATCATTATAGCAGTCATAGACCAACTGAGCAAAGGACAGATGGAGATTCAGTCACGAATAATGACAGACCCTGGTGACTTTTTTTTCAAACCCCAGGGTAGCGGCAGTGGTGGCCAGGCCTTCGGTGTGGTCAACCCTGAGGACGCCTGAGCAGCAGGCACTAGTCCCCGCTTACAAAGGATGAAAGTGAGTAAATCACGTCAGTTTGTGCGCTTGAAAAAACCACCACTGTGGACATTTATGTTTATTCAGTTTCTCTTACTTAAGGTGAAGAAACTCTTTGTGACTGTCCTACAGAAACACAGTAGCTTTCTGTTTGCCTTTTGCCAAGTAAAAAACTGACATTTGTCCACGTGTAAAATAAAAATTAAAAAACCAACCGTCACCATGTTGAAAGAAAAAAAGAAAGCAAAATCTATTACACGTTCAGTGGATATTTAACCAAAATTTGCACAAGTGTAAGAAAAACTGCCGAAAAAACATTCACACAATTGAACTCTGAATTTGAAAGGCATTATCTGATCACAGAGGGACAACAGGGTCCTAAATGCTGCGTCTAACCCTCAAGTGTGGAGGGGACGCCGGCGCTGGCCCGTAGGGTCCGGGGGTAACGCGGTGCAGGAGGCGAGGGACCAGGGTGGCCGTGGCCCCTGGGGCTCAGACAACAGTCACCACCTGCACACTGCACTGGGCTTGCCCTCTGTTCCTTGTCTGCAGATTTATATTTCTATTTCTCGGTAATTTTCTTTTTAATAATAAAGCTACATTCTTTTCTTCTAAATATGTCTCATTTATAAATAAAAGACTAAAATTCTGAAAAGGGGTCAAAACGATGCTGAAAATATAATACTATAAAATCATGGGAGGAGCAGTTTGGATTTGAAGTTGAAATAAAAGTTTACGTAATGTAAGTAAAATGAAACCTTAGACGTTCTCGATAAAGCACCAACCGCGGTCCAGCGAGGGGGAGGGCGCCAAAGGTCCCAACTACGTAGGAAATCGGCCACCTGTGCACACTGGGCCAGCCCATGGCCACCTGCGCGGTGCTGAACTCCGGGCCGCACAGAGGCCAGAGGCCAGAGGCCACGGCCAGGGACATGGCCCCAGCATGTCAGGAGGCCAGGGCGACAACTCCTGTGGGACACATGCCGGCCTCATCTGCAGAGGTTGGGGCCACCCTGCTGACACCCGTGGGCCCATGGCTGAGGACGCTCACCTTCCAGCAGCTCCTCGCCGTCGTCCACGAAGAACTCCTTGAGCGGAGGCCGCTTCGGCCGCTTCAGGGTGTTCAGGAGCTGCTGGATTTTGGAAGACACTCTGCTGTTCACAGGGACACCTGTCACGGGAAGAGGGGCGCCGAGGCTAGGACACGCCGCACCCCCGGAGGACGGGACACGCGAACGAGGTCGCGTGACCAGCTGCACCAACACGGATCCCAGATGCGGCCGTCACGCCAGCCCCGAGGCAGACCGGCAACAGCAGAAAACAAGCCCGTTCCTCCCCCTAAGTTCTCACCATTTTATCATTTTTGTCATAAATATGCCACTTGTGTTAGGATATGAATTTGTGACTGTTATTTTTAAATGAATTAATAAATATATTTTTAAAATTTTTAGTTTTATTTTCTAATATGATAGATATCAAGAGATACTATCCACCCATAATGACAAAAAGGTTGGGGACCGCTGTTTCATGACACTGTCGCTCTGGAAAGGTGCAGCTCTTTTTAAGTAGAACATACTGCCATTTGAGTTTTATGAGGTTTCCTCGTGATTCAGCACAGGTACTCCTGGCTGGAATCCACCTGCATATCGCGTCCAGATGCCTGGGACATCTGGCTCCCCCCGAGGAGGCATGACTCCCGTCACCAGAGTGCTGTCTGGCTTCTCCGTCACGTCGTCGCTGCTGCAGGCCAGGTCTGGGGAGACGCACTGCACCCTGCGTGTCCTGACCCGTATCCGGCTCTCTCCCTGCACTGAACAGCCGTGGGTCATTCTCACCAGACCGATTTTCATTGCGATGGCCACAAAGTCATTTTCCAACTTTAGCATTCCAGCCACACGAAGCAGTCGACACCTGGCACCCTATGTGTCTGCGACCTAACTAGCTAGCCAGCCGGCTGCCTATCGTCTACCTCTTTATGTATCTACCCAACACCTATCGACCTACCTACCTACCTACCTGTCTCTCGTCTATCATCAGGAAGGACTCACAGATGGCTCTTTTCAGACGGTTATAAATCATTATGATTCTTAACTATCTAATGCACAAACGGTCTCAGATTTGGCCAGAAGGACCCTGTACAAGCGGGCTTGTGACACTCCCCCTCGGTTTTACGCGCTGCCTTACGTGCTGTTGTAAGCTGCTTCCGTCACACTACGGCTCCACCTGCCCTGGAGTCGCACGACTCCGCGCGTGCCAGCGGTCCTCGGCGGGAAGGGAGTAAGACCCAGATCTGCTCACCAAATGTGTCGTTGCTACTGCTGTTTCCTTGTTCTTTCAACAGACAGAGCTAAGAAAGCACACGGCGCACACACACTGCATGCTCACAGACACACGCGCACCTGCACGGCCACACGCCTGTGTGCAGATCGGCCCATGCAGGCACGCACTCACGCGCTGGGAACCGCAGTCCGTGCCAGCAACGCCATGCCTGGTCTCACCTGCACGGCTCTCCCCGGCCTCTGGACGCCCCTCTTCCAGGGAGAACCCTGCTCTCAACTCCAACACCCCTGCTCAACGCCCTGTGTATGCACAAGTGTCCAAACTGCTCACCCACAGCCCAGAATGACAAACCTGCCGACAGGCGTCCAGGGCTGTATGCTGAGCTTCCTGCCTGCCTCGTCCAGGCTGAGGGCGCGTGGGCCACCGCGGCCACCGCGGTCCTCGTGGCTCCCGACCTACACCAGCTCTGTCCCCACCGCCTCCTCGAGTGCTGCCTCCTGGAAACACAGTCCTGTTTGCTTATTTCTGCTTGACTTCAGTTTCAGGGCTTTGACCTCTCCCCACCTCGTTTCTGTTTGGGATAGGCAGGACACTGACCAACTTCTAAATATGAGAACTATGGTCACACGGCACTGAGCCGGCACCCACGAGACAGCCCCTGTGCTCACGCACACAGCTGGGCGCACAGCCCACCAGGCCCAGGCTGGATTAACAGGCTCCCTGAGAAAAGCCAGACGATGAGCTCTACGGCTCAAAAAACCCGCTTAACAAAAACAACAAAAATTTTCAGGAATTTAGGTAAAAAAGGGAACTTCCTTGAGCTGACAAGGAGCATCTCTGAAAACCCAGAGCGGACATCACAACGAGAAATGAGAGTGTGGGTGCTTTCCCCCACCTGGGGACACGGCGCCTATGTCCACGCTCACCACATCCCACCGGAGCGACCGGGGCTCAGACACCGCAATGGGGCCGGAGACACGCGATCCGCAGGCAGACCCACGACGGGACCACACTCAGACACGGCACACGCGTGCACGAGCATGGTCTTAAGAAATCGACCAAAAATGCTGCTAAAACTAATGTAAGGTCAATGTGAAAAACCAACCGCATTTCCAGAAACTAGCAACAAACAGCTGGAAAAATTTTAAATACCATTTATAACAGCATCAAAAATAAAACGTATTTTGGGATGATTTTAACAAAATATGTGCGATACTCGTGCATTGAAAACTATAAAACCGTGCTAAAAACTGTTTATAAGTGCTAAATAAATGGAGAGATATAGTATATTTATCGACTGAAGTATGTAATATTGGTAATATGCCAATTCTCCCCAAATTGACCTAGAGAGTCAATGAAATACCAAT